ACAAATTACATTTGCTGGTTACAAAGATACAAGCTTCATATTAGACAAAAGTTCCAAATGCCTCCAAGAAGCACATATTTATTGCTTATTAATTTCTTTGGTTCTGGCCATCACATCCACCCCAGTGGATCGTCTTGTGCACCCCCTGGTGTGCGTGCACCCCACTTTGGAGACCACTGCTCTAGAAGGCAGTGAAGGATCTGACTGAAAAGGCAAGATAGGTCCTATAAGTGAATCAAGGTGACTGCGGTGACTTTCGTTTATTTTCATTAGGATTGGATTTGCAAAGCTCAGGCAGAGATGTGACCAGTTTCACATGCTTGGTTTAACACCCCCATGATCTTTTAGCATTTTCTTGTCTCTGTGAGTGACTGCCAGAATAGGGAAGAGTGAATGTGTTCTCCTGTTCTCAAAAATCACGTTACTGAGATGCAAGGCCTTGAGTGACTGAACTATGAAAATTCATGGAGCTGGAGATTTTGTTTTCAAGGAGTTAGAAGTGTTGATGCCAAGTACTATTTGTAGTAACACAACTTTTAAAATAAAAGTGATCAAGTAAATCCATCTAATCCTGTCAGAGCACAATACTCCACAAAGACTATTATTATTATTGTTGTTGTTGTTGTTTCAGTGAACCACATTATTGTACAGTTGTCTTTAACTAGGAGTAGAAACAATTCACTTTCCTCTGAAGAACTAGGTATTTTCCTTTGTCAAATACACAAGATGCCAGACCAGATTAATATGTGGTCTGATCTGTTCCACTAAACTGATTCTTTCTGTTATCAGTGGGGATGTGTTTGCATTTCATTTGGGATCTCTCTGCATTGTAACGTAGTAGTAGTTTATCTGACTCTTGTTCTTTCAAGGGGGTTATTTGTCTATGATCAGCACACTGCAGGAGCTCTTAATTTATATGCTGCATTCTGTCCTTAAGTATGTGCTGCCTTTTAGAACTCTGATTCCTGCTACAAGAGCTCTTTAGCTATTGAATCTAAATTAAAGGACCAGGGTGATATCAATGTGTGTACTTTGATGTTTAAACTTAGCTTGAAATATTGACTCTACATCCGTTTTCAATAGCAGAACGATTGCTAATGAAACACATGTTTTCTCTCTGTGTATCAGAATAACCTCTGTTCAGAGTTCACCTCCTGGGTGTGATCCAGACATAGCAGTGGATAAACTGCCCTATCAGCGTGTGCTGACTTGCAACTAAGAGTCAGTGAGAACATTTAATCTGATCAGCCTCAAAAGAAGGGAATAGTAAAACATGGGAACTAAATCACTGTTTCTTCTCACTGCAGTTGTTCTGGTAGCTTACTATGTTTATACACCACTTCCAGAGAACATAGAGGAACGCTGGAAACTGATGCTCATAAGCGCTGGTTTTAGATCTGTAGGACATATGGTAAGTTTGGAATTTTATTTCCTCCAGGTATTTTTGTGTGAGAAGGGGATGAGAACAGAACAGTATTAAGAGATGAATTGAGGAATATAAAAACTGCTGTCTAACAGTACCTGAAACCATGTATTAAACTGTAACCATGACATTAAACAACCTATTAGAAAAAAAGAATGAAACATAAAGACCTGAATATAATTGACAAACATAGTAAGAGAAATAAAGTAGAATGTAGTGGAGTGACATGAAGCAAGATGAGAGAGTGCAGACTTACTATCAATTTGTAATTTACTCTATAACCCTGTTCAGTTGAGGTATATCTGATTGTTTTATTTCTTCCCTTTTAACCTGTAATATTAAGCTTTTCTAGAAATACTAGGTCAGACTTCTGAGGAAGAAGAACTAGCGATGTGTTTAAATACTGTGCATTATTAGATATTCATAGAAGCCATGGGCTGCACGGGTGAGGTTATTACTAAACAAAGCTAATTACAGAAGTGCTAATGTAATATAATGAATAATTCTCTTAGAATTTATAAACAGTGTCTTAATACTGGTGCAATATCTAATTGTAATCTTGTGTTACACAAAGAGATGGTTAATAAAGCAGCATAGCCCAATATACAGCACTCTAGAAATGAGCTGGTATAGTACTGTGACTACAATACATAGGGCCTGTGTAACTAACTGTATTCCTTATTCCTCAATGCATTATATTCTTAGTTTCAAATTTCTTGGCTTTGCTTCCCCTACATATTATATTCTTAGTTTCAGTTTTCTTGGCTTTGCTGTAGTCATGTATTATGCAGTCATGCCTAACTACATAAATAATGTTTTGTTCTGCATACCATTATTTTTGTTTGCCTCACAGGCTTTTCATAAAAAACAGGCTTTTCCTGTATTTGTAGATCTCAGGGTTATGGATACCAAGAGTTGGTAACCATACCTGCAAAGTGTGGTAAGTGCTATAGTTTAAGAAATGTCATCTAATGCATTCACACTGCCCTTTACTTTGAACCCAGCTTGTGTTTGCAAATCAGAAATGACTGCACCAAATTTGATTTTGTATTAAATTTTTGTTGCATTCCTTATGAAGTTTTGGGAGTTTGTTTGTAAAGTAATTTTTGCTCTGTCTTCAGAGAGGGGTTAGGGGAAGGCTGACTGATTTAAGCTCTAAGCATCAAGCCCTGATATTTATAAGTGCTGCCTGATTTTTGTCTCTAACCTTGTTGGTGCCTGTCCTAAGAGTTCTTGGACTTGCTTGTCAGATGTGCTAAGGATCCACCTTTGTCACTGACTGCAGCTGGAGCTGATGCTTAGAGTTGTATCTTATTTGACCGTACACACCTACATGGCATGTAGGCGGATAGGTGCCAGAGGTTTTTTGGCACTTATGCACAGTTTCAGATTTAGTTTTGTCACAGGATTAAACAGAATTGCTATGAAAACTTGCCAGAAGTAAAACAGAGTAGTAATAGGAGGAGGGCACACCTCTTTTAGCCATAGGCAGAGGAAGAAAATATGGCTTAATTCTGGGGGGCTGCATGCTTGTGCATGTATGCCTCTTCCCCCAGCAGGTAAATCTGTTGTAGGGAAGGGGTGGGGGGATAGATAGAGGCCCCCACTGTGATGGACAGAGTGGGGCAGAGACAGGGACAGGGGCTGGGGTGAATGGAGCCCTGGGGCTGGGGCTGGCACAGGCTGTGGGATGCTCTGAGCCTGGACAGCTTGTCCAGGAGCATGGGGGACAGGAGGCTCCCGCTGCTGCATGCACTCCTGGGGCAGGCACAGGGGACATGTGCCCCCTCACTTGTGCATGGGGTGGAGGCAGCTGCATGCTGGGCTCTAGGCTCTGCCCCCACTGCTGGTGCCCTGGCGGCTGTGTGATGCCTTGTGCCTCCTGTGTGCTGGCTGAGCCACTTGCCCAGCAGTGAGAAGCATGTGGCATCGTGCTGTTGTCTGGGAACCAGCAGCAGAGGCAGAGCCCAGAGCATAGTGCACAGTGGCAGCTGCCTCCACCTCATACACAGATCAGGGGACATGTGCCCCCTGTGTCTGCCCCAGGGGTGCACATGGCAGTGGGACCCTACCCCCCTTGCACCCCTGGACAAGCCACCCAGGCTTGGAGAATCTCACAACCTGCCCCAGGGCCCTATTCAGGCCCTATTCACCCCTGCTCCTCGTGGGGACCTGGATCTGCCTCACCTCCTCTGCACCCCTTCCAGTCCACACATTTACCTGCTGGGTATGGGATGACCCAGGCTGGGCTAAGTTCCTGGCCACCTGCAGGCTCTGGCTGCTCATCTGTGTCCATTTTCCTCTCCCCACACCCTTTCCTCACCATTGCAGATGCCTGGAGCCCGGAACTGGGCTGCCTGCATTTGCAGAGGGCAAAGCCCCATTAGCCCCGGTGTTTCACTGCCTATAGTTTTAGCCCAATGGCCTACTGGTTAAAACATTTTTATAGGAACCAGGGGACCTGGGTTCTAGGACCTTGGTCAGAGAGACTTTGAACTTCCATCTTCTGTTTCCTAGCACAGTGGTCTAATAACAAGCACTAAGCACAAGCTAAGCATTGCCTAGAGCCTATACAGAGATATGGGGCCAGAGGGAAGATGACAAGACAGAGGACTTGGAACTCAGTGAGACACTATGATTGCCCCAGAAGGGATGCCCTGGCTTCTAGCCTGAGTCCTTGCTCCCCAGTGGGGCAGAAATTTTCCCAGTGCCTTTATGGATTGTATCCAATCAATATTAAATGCAGTGAACCATTTCAAGATGAGGGCTGGAGGGGAGCTTGGGCAATGCCTAGCCCATGGCCTATGGTTAGTGCACTTTGCTGGGAAGTGCAGGACACAGGTTCAAACTCCCTCTCAGTGAGGGGAAACTAGAACCTGTCTTTTGTTCCATGGCAAAGTACCCTAACCAATAGGTTATTGATCCAAATGGGAGGGGACTTACAGGCCCCTATCCCATTTTGCCACATAGATGCCCAGCCAAGCTAAATGTCAAAAAACCTGAGGCTGAATCAGTTCAATCTTTGCAGGTTAGTCTAAGCTGCATAGATTCAAACAATAAGTAAGTAAACAGATATTCACTTTTGATTCCTGAAATGCAGGCCAGAAGTTGGGTGCTAGGACATACCTCTCTGTTCGGCTGTGTGGAAGAAATCAAACTTGGCGTTGTGGTTGAATCAGAACTGACGGAGCCAGCTTTTCTTTATTGAGAGCTATACTGTGATCACAGGGAGATATTCCACACAGCAAGGGGAATCACCCACTCATCTGTTTCAAAGGAATCCTCCCCCTCCCTAAGTTTCTAAGCATTTTTATACTTAAGACAGGTAAAGAGAAAATAAATATGACCTTGAAGAAATTAAAACAAACTTACTTAATTGGACACCTGTGCACAGAGTAATAATGCAGGAATTTTTTTTTTTATCTCAAAACATATAACTGAAATAAGCAGTATTAGCACTTCTGGTCTCTGTCTATTTTTTTTAGTCAGAGAGGCCAAAAGCCTGACTAAATTCACTTTAACATTTGCTAATTTTTTTTTTTCAACAAGTTATTTATAGCCATTACCCTTTCAACTTCTAGTTTTTTTTTCTTTACTTTCTGCTATTTCAACATACAAATTATATACTTCGTTTCTGGTTGATGCGCTATTCCACATTTGCTTAACAGCACAGTTTAAGCAACATTGTACTATCATAAACACTAGGCATACTCCAGTAAAAACAACAACAATATCAACAAACTGTGAATGACGGGAAAACCTAAGGAACTGAAAATACAGCTAAACCAAGAACTCAAATTCC